GGCTGGAAACCCTGGAATTAGAAACGAATAAACTGAATTTCATACCTCCAAAGCGCAGTTGGGAAGTGAAGTTGGCAGTGAGTGAATTCCGTTGGTTAGGACATATGAGGCGTTGAATCCCGAAGGCATTACCGGTTGACCCAATTTTGGAACGTTAAACTTGCACAAATGAATTACTACAGCCTTTGCAAAATGGAGAAAATGATGTATTGTCCGGGATAAGTGATATTTTGCGTTGAATTATTATTTAGAGTTATAACCAGCAAGTCCAATTTTAAAATCGCTGAATTGCCACTTATGAAATTCCTACAGCCACTGCGCCTTTAACACGTGAAAGATTTTCTCAAGTTGGTTAATATTCACTGTTGAATCATGAAATTTATTGACGGAAAAGTCGATTCGGAAATGGCACCTACAAACATTACATAAATTGGTACCATTTTAAATTGAAGAAATATCTAGCGTTTGATCAACATAAGAGTTGAATGCTACAATAATTAACTGTAAACCTAAATCAAACAACGACTGAACTGACGCAAATGAAATTCATAAAGCATTTGTGCCGTTGTAAAGTGTAAAAATCCTTACAGTTCGGTCCAAATGCGAATTAAATAACCATAGTTATTGACTGGATAACTAATTTAAAAACGACTTAACTGACACTCTGAGCTAAATTCTGATCAATTTTTGATAGTCACACAAAAAAAATTTAAATGACCATGCATGCATCATTCTAATAACATGTAATTAGAATACCCGCCATTAGAATAACATACGTGTTTGTAATACCAGGTACAAATGAGCGTAATTGATGGCCACGCTCAAGAAGATAAATATTTTTACACAGGTGCAGCAGCCTCGGAACAGAAGGTGCGTTTCAATAATCGGTGGGCAGTGTTGATAAATTCTTCGTAATTGGAGCGGTGATTCGCTTGTTCGAGCTGTGAAAATGTGGTCATTGTGTATTCAGCTAAAAAGATTAATTTTTCACCTAACTTCCTATATAATTAGGTTCACTAAATTAGCTGTAAAAAATGCACAAAGTACTCCAACTTAGTTGATCTGTGATTTTTACGGAAGCCCTGCCGTGAATTACTAATTTCGAACACATCAGCCGTGAATGCAACGGCTTAAATCTTTCTGCAAGGTCACCGATCAGTTGTGTGTTGTACACCCGGTACCTGGCTACGACATGAGGATATTAAGTATTGATAATATAATGGCATTGAGAATATACTAGTGTTGAAAATATAATAGTATTGATAATATATGTACTAGTATTGAGAATGTACTAGCATTGAGAATATAATAGTATTGAGAATTCACTAGTATTGATAATTTAATAGTATTGAGAATATACTAGTATTGAGAACACACTAGTATGTAGAATACAATAGCATTGAGAATATACTAGTATTTATAATAATTCTGACTTGCCGACAATCCACTCGTTTATAAATAAATATTTATATATCAATTCATATATATTACCCTTCATCTTTTTTTGATATTTTTATATTTTAATTGTTTAACTTGGATTTGGGAATCATTTCTCTCAAAATTTTAGATTCACAGGGCATATAACTGGGCAGAGTAGTAGTAGAGATATTCTCGTAATAGTTCAAACTTCGAAAATCAAATAAATATTTGTGTGTAAATAAATATTTCTGGCGAAGAGATCAAGAAATTTCATAGCATTTGCTTAGCTTTCATTTTTTTTCGGTAGAGTTATGATAATTGGTGAAGTGGAACAAATAAAAGCTCAGAATTTTTCAACTTTTATAGGATAATGAAAAATCACTATTCATGAATTTAGCGAGATTTTACTACTGATGAAGTTGTGGCAGTTGGGTTAAGTTATTTCGGTTCATAATTGCCCTGTACAGATAGAATATAACCATGAAATGCATATTTTTCCACGCAATTTTAGTAGATTTACGTCGATATCATCAACTCAATGGTTTCATCAAATGTACTTAGAAAATAAAATTCATTGTTTTATGTCCCGAGGCTGGCGAAGGGGTAAAGAAATTGTGTTCCTGGTCGATGACGGCACGCTGCATGTTCCAATCTAACGAAGTTTTAAATGCGTCATGCACGCGAGGCATAAAAGTGTAGCATATTCTCGAATGAAATGAGTTTTTAATCTTGAACTTTTGTTCATAGCTGCTGATTAAGCTGGAATGTTTAAAGTTTGGCAACTTTTAAGATTAGAACACAGCACGCCAAACGAACGTATGAGTTGTTTCTTGAATTGGTTGGTTTTCACTGAATAGAAAATATTTCAATATAGACGATCCCGTTTGTAATCTTCAACTGACGAATGCTTATAGTTCCGATTTACTCATTGATAAGACTAAAATTCAAGGTGCATTTTATCAAAAGTTAATGTGTACATGAGCCAAAATTTTATTTATAATTCAAGGTTATTTTTTAAGTTCAGGATAATTATTGATGTATATGCATCATTTGCGCAGAAAAATAGATTTCAAGCTTGTGTTCGCGAGCTTATTTCATTTCGTGAAGGAACGCTTTCTGAACGTGCGCACAGTTTGAGAACCACATCTATGTGTGTGTGTATAATACATATAGGCGTATTAGTATTTGATGGTAGAATTTTCTTGTTCTTATATGCTTTTAATTTATGACCAGAGAATATTTATTTTTACTTGATAAACCTGCCTTTTTATATAACAACGTCATCTAAAGAATTGTCCAACTCCTTGGAAATTGTGATGCATTCCCTGGTCGTTAATTGTACACATATATAGGCGCATGTACATGTACAGCTTATGTGCACGTGGATCAATACTCCTACGCATGTGTGCCATAAAAAACAATGTTCATTCTATTATTTTTTACATATCACACAGTGTGTTTATGTAATATACAGCGTGTATACTTTTCGCGTCACCATCTCAACCAACGAACCTTCGACGTCGTTCAAAACTCTTCACTCACTGTATCAATAATAAAATATTCATTCACCGATTAAGCAGGCGCTCCAAGTTAATCTCTGGCCTCATGAATTTATTATTTTTATTGCACGCGCGCTCCACTACACTGCTTCAAAACGTCAACGGTTTTCACTAGTCAGGCGGTAGTCAAGACATGGTTTAATGATACTGGAAAATACTGGGCCAAAGTATTGATCGCTCAATAAAGTATGCAGCGATAATTTGGTAGGTAGTTACAACCGATACTTGCTCGTTGACGGCGAGAAAAGAATAAGGTTTTCACTGCACTATATAGCGTCAGTCGAGTAGGGTAGTGTGATTTTTCGAGCTCCAGCTTCGTTATAAATCCCAATTATAAAACAAATCGTAAATTTTAATAAACTTATATAAATGTAAAGAGAAAATTTTTCAACGTTAGGGTAAGTTTATATTTTGCGCTTATTGAGTTTGTACGAAAAATGACTTGAAGCATTGGAATGCATCGCAGCCTCGGCTTAGGTGCACTAAACGGTGTTGATTAATTGTGTTCACTAGCTTGTTTCGATTGCTAATTATTTTAATTGAAAAAATGTCCGGTCGCTTCAACCAATAATTATTTGAATTGGAAAATAAATCACTTGCTTCGAATAATTATCTTCAGACTGGTAAAAATATTCATTTGCTTTGACTTAAAATTATTTCAATTGCAAAAATATTCGCTAGCTCGGACTGACTACAACTATTTTGAGCTAAAAATGCTTAATTGCCTCGACTAAAAACCTTATTTACAAAATGCGGAAAACTATTCAGAATGTTTTCAAAAATAAAAACTAAAATTAATTTCGAGATATTAATTTCAGATTAGATTAATCGACAAGTAAACGAATGATAATCGATTAATCGAACTGAGATCAATTTTTATCCTAATCAAATTAGTTTCTTTCTCTTGCTGAATATTGATAGAAATGTAAGTTTAACAGGAATAAAATGTATGGAAGACCTGGTTAATTGTGGATAATTTTAATAAATAAATTTAATGATGTTGTTATCCGGGAATTCATCGATGTGTTCAATCATGAGAACAAGAAGGAGAACAATTAAGTCTTTATAATAATCTGTGGCAATGATTAAATAATTTGATTTTAATAGGGCGGGAAGTCAGCTGTAGTCTACAAACTCCCTACATTCAAGAACTCCCTAGTTTATCCTCGTAAAACCAATCAATAATCGTAAAATAACACTAAGCAGTCAACAGCTTAGCTTCGAGAAGTCCTTGAGAAATTGAAAGAAAGACTTAGAACTTTTTGTCATAGAACCCTCGTGCATGAATCTAAAATTTCACTGTGCATTCCATTTCAGGACATTTCACAACTTTTAAATTAATTGCTTCACACTCCCAAGTCTCGTATAACTATGAAATATCACTAGATATTTCATTTAAAGTCAATCCCTGCACCTTTTCGTGGGTGCGCCGCCCCACCGCAATGAGGCTCGCGTACTTGCTGGTGCTGGTCTACAGCGTCTGCGCTGTGGAAAGGAAACTTGAAATACACGATAATTCCATGATGATGGATACAGATGTCACTTCGAAAACTGTAGTCACGAAGCCATGTGAGTATCAAAAGGGAATAGAGATTGACCATTTGCTAGTTCTCTTAAGAAAATTTTTTTACAACGTTCTAGTCATAATCATTGTAACATTTTTTATTGATATTTTATGTACAGAAGAATTTCGACTGAATTTTGCAGGCAAATGCATCATTGATTGCTACGTGAATCCAGCCTGCCAAGCCGTAGCCTCAGAAGAAGTTTCGACCAACGTCACGTGTTATTTCAGTCTTCATTTCGGCGTTCAAACCAGGCTCACTAGCCGAAATACGGCCACCACATACGTCAAGAAAGGTGACGATGCTCTCGAGGCATTTTCATATGCTGAAAAGTGGGGCTGGAGAACAGTGTAAAAAATCAACATTAACGAGTATTTAGTTTGCGCTATTTATTTCATCTATATCATTACATAATTTAGTTTTATTTTATGATATTTTATTCACTTTACAGGGTGCGCCGACAACTTCGTCATGCTGGGAGGGATTTGCTACTTCTTCTCATCGGAGACGGCCGACCAAGCCACGGCCAAAACCAAGTGTCCTGCAACGAGTTCACTGGCCTTCCCGTCTTCTGGTGGAGAACTGAACAGCTTGGTGGACTACATAAAGAAAAGTGAGTGTAGCGCGGCAAGCGTAATTTATCGCGTTCGTTTTCATATTCTCCCTCTATCACATTTATTCATATTGTCCACTTCCCCATACACATCTGTGGCATTCTTTCATCGATATTCACAAAGACCAAAATGAGGGAAATTAGTTCCATGTGCATAGTATAAATTAAAGAGTCATAAAAATAAGTTATCTTGCCAAGAGAATTAATTATCTTGTGTTACAGGAACTCTCGGGGCCGAAGTAGGCATTTCCACAATATGTCTGCAATAGTCTGAATATTTTATAAATTTTTGGGCAATTTCTTGAAAAAATCGCAAATGCTGATCAAAGAAAAATATAACTATTATTTTTGATAACAAGAGTGTACCAAAACTTTAGCGCGACTTCGGGCCACTTCACTTTTTAGCGCATTTTCACATTTATGAAAAAAATGCACTATTGTGCTCGCCATGTCTGTCCGTCAGTCCGTCTGTCTGTCCGTCCGTGACTTCATGTTTTCGTCGACGAGAAAATGCGCTCTCTGTCACTCACTGCAGTGAGTACTGAGTTATATTTTTAAAGTTTTATTGTGTTCACCTAACACAATCCCGATTTAATGAATTCAGTATTCATTCATTCATTAAATCGGTAATTCATTAAATCGGGATTGTGTTAGGTGAACACAATAAAACTTGAAAAAAGTGAAGTGGCTCGAGCTGCTGCCCGGTGGAAATCCTCTGAATCGGGATCAGGAGCTTCCCCTGCCTGTGCAAGCCAGCCAGGTAGCACAAAGAAACTGATACACTAAGTTCCGTACGGTCTATCCTATCAAATAAAGGCCAACTGATTTGAATGAAATGCTACAAATTTATGTGATAGAAAATTAGCATAAGCTAAATATTAGGGTCCAGAATATCGTCAAACGTTCAAATTTACGAACCTGGCAGCTGTGCTCTAAAAAATGTATGGTAATTTTGAAATAAGGTGCTATAATAAAATGGTTAACTATTGAATTCAGCTGGATGACAAGGAAGGTTTAATTTTTTAGTGAGAGTTGCAGTAAAACTTAGACAGTTGTTCATAATGGAAATTGGCCGGAGCTTCAAGTTACCTCGAAACCCTGAGCTCTAGTGTAGGGACAGCAAACATGCAGCATTCGGTCCTCTTCTGAGGTCTCGCCGAGACCCGTCCTCCGTGAGAAGACGAGCTGCTGCTATCTCCTTCAGATAGTCCCACACCTCAACGCTGCCACCCCAGACGAGACGCACGCTGGAAGTTTCACTCCAGAGTGCAGATGAAGTGGACGAACAATAGTGATAATTTGGCTTCGTTTGCAGTCGTAAAGAATCTGACTTGTGGGCTGGCTATGAACCGTGATGGAAGCTGGATCGAGCTTTAAACTTCAAATTTAGAGATGAAGAAATTAAGAGTTTTGCCTGCACCGAATTACAGGAAATGCTTTGTATCGTAGCCGGACAAACTAAATCATGTATAATTCAAATCTAAATGAAACTTGTCTTCCAACCGGAATTTTTTTCTAAAAGATAAGAATTTTCTACAAGAAGTTTGAAAACATTTCTGTTTGAATGGAGATGAATAATTTCTTATTTACAGACAAGGCTGACGTGGACAACTGGTACGTGGACCTGACTATGACGAATAAAAAGTGGTACTGGGGTGACCGCGTCAATTATATGGGCGCTATAGACATCTACGGCGGCGACAACGAGTTATGTGCCAGGCTTCGTGGCACAACCTATGGGCTCGCGGACTGTCCTTGCAGCACAGACTACAACTTCATCTGCCAGTATACCGTGCAAACTTGAGGGAATCATTTTAAGATAAGAATCTTTTCGAGCAGGACATTTCGGGAGCGAACCATTTCGTGCAGGGCATCGAGCTGGTCTGGCCCATGAACTGGCATTGCGTGATTTTGCGTCTCAGATGTAGTTGAAGAACTTATGTTTTACGCTTAATCAACAATTTCCCAGGTAATTTTCTTCAATTTTTTTTAAAATTTTTTAATCAGGCCAGTTCATACCTAACGGGTATCTTTTAAAGATCCTATGGAAACTATATATTGGATAAATATATTATTTAGAACTCATCGGAATATCTTCTAGAACATTTACCCATTTCTGCTTGATTTAAAAATAAATTAGAGATTTGTGTGTTTTGGTCCTCAGTACCCGAGAACTGCAGCAAACGAGTAGGGGTTCACAAGCACGTTGTGGTTCATCTATTCAAGCTGCACAATTGTGAGGGTTGACTTTATATATTCGCGTATTTTTATTGTATTCAATACAGATAATATATTATTAGTATTACCTGAACAAAAGGTCATTTCAGTCGGCAAAAATTCGTAGCCTTGGCATCTTTAAAACTCACGTTGCTACAGTCTACGATTTATATTAATCCCAAATTCATTTATGGGGCACATATATTTATAAACTGAAGTTCTGGAGTCAATTTCAGCAATGCATTTTATATCCATAACTAACTATATCCAGAACTATTGGTTTGGATTAACTTTAATGAGAAACTAAGTTCAGCACTTACTGAGCAAAATATTTATCGGCCTCATCATGTTTCACCTTTAAGTGAAGAATGGACTCCAGACCAGTCAATCTCGCGTTTCATAAACTGAAATTCACCGAATATATTTGAATCGTAATTAAAAGCTTAAGAAATTCTGGCTTAACATTTTTCTAACATTTATTGTGCTTTGACATTTTTGTGAAAATATTTAATCTTCGCACAGTCTTGAGTGCTTTCAGCGCCATTATACACGAATAAAATGACTAAACATTTTAAGGGTGTTTTATCTCACACTAAATTAGTCAGAGTATTATTTTGAACAAATAAAAAAAAACTTCGATGACTAAAAAATAAGACTGTTTTGATAGACGCTCTTGATACCCATCAGTTCAAGAGGTTAAAATTGAAAATTTAATATTTCAGGCTGATTTGACAGCAATAGATATCAACATTTTCATGAAATATCTAGATAAATGCTCTTCATAATATCTCGAGACATCTAACAGAGGATTACAAGATCTTTGCAAGCAAACATGAAGGAGTTATCTAAGAATAAAAATTAAGGAATGATTTCAGTACAAATGTACCAACTCTCTTTAATTAGCGTGACCTGGGACTGCTACGTCCTACACAAGAGACGATGCGCTCTATAATGGCGCAACTATCCGTGAGTGCAACAAAGTTGCTGAGCAAAGTCCAGACTCTTGAGTTGGACTAGCAGGAAGTCGTGCTCGCGATATACATGTGAGTGTGGAAGAAATGATCCAATTTCATATTCGCTACCATGACCAATCGTGGAACGTTGCTGTAAATCAACGAGCATCAGTTCATGCCTCAAAGAGCCGAAAAATATCTCCAAAGTCTCACTTTCAAATTTGTCGAAGACGTTTAAGCGACGTGTCGAAATGTAGTTTAACTGCCGATCAACATTTAATTTACGACCGATTTAACTGCAGTAAAAAATGACAAATATAGAGTTGCGTCCCATATTTCGTTTCACTCTTACTTTACATTATGAAAACAAACTTGCCTGGAATAATCTTTCAAGAAATGTTTTTTATTGGGTGTTTGTGCATATAGATGCTTTTCAGTGCTCTGATTGTTTTGTTGCCAATATTTATGCTATGTACCGATTCAGAGCCATTAAAAAAAAAACATTCTGGTAAATACCATGTAATTTTTATGCTCTCGCAGTTAATGCGTGCAAGTTATCAGCCAAAATGAACAATTATTTAATTTGATCAAAACGCAAGGCATGAGTGCCTTTCCTGAGCACTTAATTTATAGAAAATAGAAAGAACTTAATTAATAAAAACAACGGCATTAACTTCTTTGATGTATTTTGAATGCTAATGAAAGGTTGTCAAGTTAGCTGCACTACGATTCTAAAAAAATTAGATTAGTACTCACTGCAGTGAGTGACAGAGCGCGCATTTCCTCGTGAAGTGAAGTCACGGACGGACGGACGTACATGAAATCACGGACGGACGGACGGACATGACGAGCACAATAACGCATTTGTTTCATAAATGAGAAAATGCGCTAAAAATGGTGAAAAATAAATCACTTACAACGAATCAATGCAATCGATACAAATAAAAGGTAAAGAATATGGATACATTTTACATAATACACAAGGTGAAGAAATGGAGCATCTGCGCGTATATTGTGTGTTTGCTCAACATTAACTTATGCTGTATTACGTAATGAATAAATCCATTGAATCATGCCAGAGGCTTGCAGGTCACGGGGCTGTAGCTCGTGGAGAACTGCACTGCGACGATGACGTACGTCAACACTATGGATCCCATCTGGAAAAATCATCGTTTTCAAAATTATCATCTTTAAAAATTCAATAAATTTTCGTTCTAAATTTCGGTCGAATATCTAATTGGCGTGAAACATTAGGAGACCAACCGTATTGTTGCCTAATCGTTTTTCTAGTAAATTGGAACTACAGCGCTCACTACCTTAAGCCCAGCTCACTGAATATATCTGAGGCACGCAACACTCACTGACAGGAGGCAGTGTCGGCCCAGCTCGAAGAGTGGCTGTGGCACACAACACTCACCGACAGTTTCAAGTTACTCCAATTACTCTAATGTAGTCCAAAAGATGAAGAAGTCTACAACCTTCTTTGAAGCAAAATTTATAGAGCACATCAGATTCTTGAAGAACTCCTTCTTTTTTGAAGGGGCCGTTGCTGAGTACAGTTCGGGATTTGAGGTCGTTGTCAAGGGTATCACAGAGCCGGTTGAATTCACCACGGATCTTGAGATGAAGTTGCTCGACTGTAATACTTTGAGACATGATCTGTTTTCGAGCTTGTCTCAGGTGGCATCCTGAAAATTTAAATCAATGATTTCTCTGGTTATTAACCACTCGTGTTTAAACAAGCTTATTCTGCTATCTTATACTAATATACCTATGTTTGTACCTACTAATGTCATTTCAAAATTTCAAATTCGGTTGTTGCAAAACTCTTCCTATACTTGATAATGAATGATGTTGCATTCGAAGCGTCGTAAAATTATAATAGAATGTCCCTTGGAAACCTGATATTTGGATTTTCACTTCCTATCAAGAGCTTAATTCGCCGAATAGAGAAAAACAACAAGAAAATCGTCAATAAGAAATACTCTCTGGTCTTCAATGAAACCTGCATTCATAACATCTCGAGACATCTAACAGACGATTACAGTATTTTTGCAGGCAAACATGAAGGAGCTACCTAAGCTGAAAAATTAAGGAAAGTTTTCAGTACAGCTTTACCAACGCTCTTTAGCGTGACCTGGGGCTACTACGTCCTACACAAGAGACGATGCGCTTTGTAATGGCGTCACTATGCGTGAGTGCGACAAGTTGCTGAGGAAAGTCCAGACTCTCGAGTTGGACTAGCATAAAGTCGTACTCGCTATATACATGTGAGTTTGGAAAAAAATGATACAATTTCATATCGACGTCTGCGTGGGGATCTCATTGAAGTATACAAGTATACTCATGGTTTATACAAGGTCCCCGAAGGATTACTAGAATTTGAAACAAGAACCAACACCAGGGGCCACGGCTATAAATAAAAAAAACTGCGCTGCAACATTTCTTCTCGCTTCGAATCACCGACATGTGGAACAGCCTCCCCGATGACATCGTTGGCGCTCCAATTATGATGACATCGTATGGCGCTCCAATCCGTTCAAATGAAACGATTTTAGATCTTCTGTGAACAAGGCACGAAAAGGAAAAGAATCGGCGACAGTCACATCAGGCCTACACTGCAGCGCCGAGATCACTATGTTATGTTATGACCAATTGTGCACGTTGATGGAAATCTGCGCGGATCTGTTCATGCCTCAAAAAGCCGGAAAATATCCCACAAGTCGCACTTTCAAATTTGTCGATTACGTTTAAGCGACGTGTCGAAGTGTAGTTTAACTGCCGATAATCATTTAATTTACGAACGATTTAACTGCAGTAAAGAATAACAGATATATGAGTTGCGTCCCATATTTCGTTTCTCACTAACTTTACATTATGATCACGAACTTGCCTGAAATATTCTTTCAAGAAATGTTTTTTATTGGGTGTTCGTGCATATAGATGATTTTCAGTGCTCTGATTGTTTTGCTGCCAATATTTATGCTATGTACGGTACCGATTCAAAGCCATTTAAAAGAACAGTCTGGTAAATGCCACGTATTTTTTATGTTCTCGCAGTTAATGCGTGCAAGTTATCAGCCGAAATGAACGATTATTTAATTTGATCAAAACGCAAAGCATGAGTGCGTTTCCTGAGCACTTAATTTATAGAAAATAGAAAGAACTTAATTAATAAAAACAACGGCATTAACTTCTTTGAGGTATTTTGAATGCCAATGAAAGGTTGTTGTGTTAGTTGCACTGTGATTCTAAAAAAAATGAAAAAATTAGATCAGTACTCACTGCAGTGAGTGACAGAGCGAGCATTTTCTCGAAAAGTGAAGTTTTTCATTAATGAGAAAATGCGCTAAAAATGGTGAAATATTAATCACTTACAACGAGTCAATGCAATCAATAGAAATATAAGTTGAAGAATATGGATACATTTTACATAATACATAAGGTGAAGAAATAGGGCATCTGCCCGTATATTGGGTGTGTGCTCAACGTTAACTTATGCTGTATTACGTAATGAATAAATCAATAGCTTCATGTCAGTGGCTTGCAGGTCACGGGGCTGTAGCTCGTGGAGAACTGCACTGCGACGATGACGTACGTCAACACTATGGATCCCATCTGGAAAAATCATCGTTTTCAAAATTATCATCTTTAAAAATTCAATAAATTTTCGTTCTAAATTTCGGTCGAATATCTAATTGGCGTGAAACATTAGGAGACCAACCGTATTGTTGCCTAAACGTGATACTAGTAAATAGGAACTACAGCGCACACTACCTTAAGCCCAGCTCAATGAATGGCTGTGGCACACAACACTCACCGACAGGAGGCAATGTCGGCCCAGCTCGAAGAGTGGCTGTGGCACACAACACTCACCGACAGGAGGCAATGTCGGCCCAGCTCGAAGAGCCCAAATATCGTGAAGCGAGGCATGCGCTCCAGCTCAGCCTGGATGCCGCGCAGCTGCCACACTTTCTGCAGCATCAAAGTAAAATCATAATTGACGCAAAAATCAAGATTTCAAAAAAGCTGGGTGGTTTTCAAATCCAATGAGTGAGAGTTATCGAGACATTTTTTTTATTGTTTTTACATTGCATTAGATTTTTTCATGACCTTCGTTTATTTCTTGAATCAAGTGCACCAATTTAAGCTGAGATTTCGAAACATTTTTAATTCAATGCAGTTAAATGGAATGAGACTTGTGAATCGATCACTTAATGGAGAAAAGAAATTGAGGCTTGATCGAGTAGAAGTGTTTTTGAATAGATGGTTTGAGCAAAAGTTGGACGCTTTTTGTAAATTTGCCTGTAGATATAACGTTCATTAGCTGTTGTTTTTATGAAGAGGTGTACAAAAAAATCAGACAGTACAAAAATTATTTTTAAATCAGTTTTATATTTCATATATTTTTAATGGTCAAGTGCTTCCAGTGTTTCACGTTACAAATAACAATTAATCATACTTTTAATTTTA